GTTCAGTCTCTGCAACTACCTTTGCTTCAAAGAACTTTGCCATTCATTTTCTTTTTTTCATATAGAACATTCTCTTAAGTGGTAAGGTATTCACAAGGCAGGGTACAATAAGACTTTGATTATTTTACTAGATAGAGATGACCCATCCTAGGTAGGTAGTTATTTACAAAGATATTTTAAAGTGGAAATAGCATCTGCTTTTGTTATTAAGTTTAAAAAATCTGGGCTGGGGTTGTGGCTCAGTGGTAGAGCACTTGCCTCGCACATGTGAGGCCCTGGGTTCAATCCTCAGCACCACATAAAATAATAAACAAAATAAAGGTATTGTGTCCATCTACAACTAAAAATACTTTTTAAAAAAAAGTTTAAAATACCTATTACATTAGCTATGTAACCAGCTGAGATATAACACACTGGAGATCTTCTTAGAAAATTATAAAATATAACCATGTAAACTCAAAACTGCCAAATATATCTTTCTCATTTCTGAGTTAACCTTCATTTAAAAGAAATATGAGCTATAATAAAATTTAAAAGTAATTACAAAAAGTAAATGTGGAATCAAAAATCTTTAATCTGGCAATCTAACTGAATGAAATATTACTAAGGAGAGCCTGAATGCTATGCATTTTAACCATAGAAACAAGATTGTCAACCACCATTCAGCAAAAGATTATTATTTGTGACGCATAACTTCTTATTTTCAGGTTATGGGGGTGTTTCCTGGCATTGGTTCTCACCAACAGATGAGACAATAGGTGAGAAGTGGGAGACGGGAGTGACAGGAGAGTATAACATAGAGAGAGTAAGAGAAATGGGCCAGAATTGGCCAGCATGGGAGAACAACCAGTATTTCTTCCCAGTGGCATTAATAAAGTGAGATAAGATCAATAAACAGTGCTCCTACTGAAAGAACGAATAAGGCTCATCATTGGAGAAAATGCCCGTTTATTGAGGAACAGCTCTGCATATTTATAGAGCTGAGGGTGGTTTGACAGTTAAACAGTTGAAGGGTTTGACAGTTGGCATGGGGTGTTTTCTGATTGTGGGTAAGGATCATGTGAGCCAGCAGGGCTAGTCTGATTGGTGGGTAAGGATCATGTGAGCCAGCAGGGCTCACCATTGGACAGCTCTTCTCGGGGGATGGGGAAGTTAGTCTTTGGAACTGGGGCTACTCCCAACACCTACTGTATAATGATCTATATACAGAATACTTTGTGATGCAAGAGCTTGGCTCTTTAAAAACTCTCCTAGGTAAGAAAAGATGGTTAACAGAGGCAGTGGTGAAAGAGACAGATCAAGGCTTCCTTGGGGTTCTCACAAAATTTGGGAGCAGAGCTTTTAAACAGTCTATTCACCCTGACCCATATTCATCAGAGAATATCAAATTGGAAGCCTCACCCAGGGCTTCGGCAGAGTAGTAGGTCTATGAGCACTAGCAGAAACTGCACTATATGGCTCTCATTACAATGTCCTATCATTTGACATAGTTCCTCAGAACACAAGTCTCCCTGCAGCCTCAGCTACTTCTCTGTGCCACCTTGCTTTAAGTGTGATAAGATGGCCACTTCATAATGCACTCCTTTCCCTACAGTGGTTCCCTGACACACAAGAAGCCCACTGCACCAAATTGTGTTATGGGGGAAAACAGAGGGGACCCAGCAGAAACCTGTATGCCTTTGAGTCATTTTGAAATGGAATCTTTTGCTCTGTTTCTTCGAAGCAGCTAGAAAACTTCCACAGAAAAGAATGGACATACTAATAAGCAAATCAAATGCCTCAACGTGGCACCATCAGCCCTCTCTTGCCTGCTTTTCCTGTTTCTATAGAGAGAGGCCAGTCACCACCTTTCTATTTTGGTCACACTATGGTTCTGTGGGAACTGTCATTTTCCTTTACTGCGGTTTCCGAGGCCCTAAAATAACCTTCTCATTAGCTTCACTCAAGTTCATTGTTAACATAAATAGGACAAAATAGGCAGCCGTGTACAGAGCACTTTAAAGGAACAGTATCAGCCATGCTCATCTATCTATGATCTGAACAGATATATTCAAAAGAGGGTTAAAAAAAAACTTGTTTTTTTTTTTTTGCATTATCAGGAAATACACTGTGGATCATTTTCAGCTTCCTGGAAGTGAATTAAAATGACTGATAACTTTTAATTCAGTTTAGGCTTGACTCTCTCTGTCAAATCCAGGTGGCCACTAGCAGAAGTTTGAGTAATGTGGAAAATATGTCTGTGCAGCTGCTGGAAAAGAAGCAAAGTTATACTTCCTCAAAAACAGTGTGACAGAGTCCTGCAAAGGAATGCAATGTTGGCTGATCTGTAGGCAGTATTGCCACTGGTATGCACCCTCAAATCCAGCCCCAACACTCCCTGGCCATATTCCATCCTGGGACTGCACGGTTGGAACTTATAAAAACAGAATGATTCCACTGTAAATCAGGTGCTCTTCTTTACTGTCCATTCCCAAAGACACATTAATGTTTAGGAGGAGGAAGAAGAACTACCTATAAGGCATAGCAAACAATGACAGAGGTTAAGACAGGTTATCCATGATACCAAGAGAGGCTAGGTTAGCATTGCTATCTTCACTGATTAAGGGCAGAGCTAATGAGGGCTGTCTCACTAGTTCAGTCTCTACAACTACCTTTGTTTCAAAGAACTTCAGCCTCAACTGTAGACTAAAGTTACTAGAATAATAGTTAACCACCAATGGAATTGATGATTTTTGCTGTTTGGCTTACACAGGAAGCAAACATTTTTCTCTGGGAGTTTCAGGACAGCTATCAATCTATGAAAAAAAAATTACCTTAGAACTTGTAGAATATTTTCTGTAAGGACCAGGTAGTAAGTTCTTTGGTCTTTGTTGAACACATTCAATTTCTGTTGCTATTTAACTCTGTACTTATAGCTCAAAAGCAGCCATAGACAGTATGTCAAGAGATGAGTAAGTCTGTTTTCTAATAAAACTTTATAAAAATAGGAAGCAGGCTGGATACGGCCCATAAGCAATAGTTTGCTGACTCTCACTTTATCATTAGGTTATACTTACGTTGCTACAAGAATGATCAGAATATGATGACCAGAACCAAGTGTTCTGGCAACTAACCCATAGTATTAGAGGCCAGAATGGGGGCTATTCTTTTATGTGTGAGAGGTCTGTGGGAGTACTATAATTGGGAAGGAGCATGAGAAAGCTGCTAGGTTACTGGTAATATTCTATTTCTTGATGTGGGTGCTTTTTACATAGATATATTCATTTTCTGAAAATTCACTGAACTTTGTGAAAATCCATTTATAAATTGCATAAATTTCTGTATCTATTTGATACTTCAATAAACTATTTTTTTAAAAAAAGAAAGAAAAAAAGAACCAACATGTTCTAAAGAAGATATAATTTTAAGAAAAATAAGGTGGAAAATCCCATATGGACAGGGTAGGACTTGGGCAGAGGATCTGTGGGTTCCCAGTTATGCAGTGAGGACATAGGCCAACTTCTTTTCTTTTCTCTTCTCTTTTCTTCATCCCTCCATCCTTTCCTTCCTGTGCTTTTTTAAAAACATTGTGAAAAGCATGCACAAGATAAAACTTAACATCTTAACCATTTTTAAGTTCAGTAGTGTTAAGTATATTCACATTGTTGGGAAACAGATCTCTGGAATGTCTCCATCTTGCCAAACATTAACTCTAAATCTACCAAATAACTGTCCTTTTCCCCCTCCCACCCCCCAACCCTTGGCAACAACCATTCAGCTGTTTCTATGAATTTGACTACTTTAGATACATCATGTAAGTGGATCATACAGTATTTTTCTGTTTTGTGATTGGCTTATTTCACTTAGCATGATGTCCTAAAGGCTTATTCGGTGGTATGTGACAGGATTTCTTTCTTTCTAAGGTGGAATAACATCCATCTTATGTATATACTACATTTTGTTTATAACATTCATCCAACATGGTTGTGTTACTTCCACCTTTTGTCCTTAGAACACCAGTCTTCTTCCTTTGGCAGCCTGCTAGCAGCTTTAGCTACTGCTCTGTGCAACCTTGCTTTAAGTGTGATAAGATGGTCACTTCATAATGTATTCCTCCCACTGCTGTGGTCCTTTGACATACACATGAAGCCCACTGCACTGAGTAGTGTTGCAGGGAGGATACAGAAGGGATGTAGTGGAAATCTCTACCTCTTTGAGTCATTTTGAAATGGTATCTTTTGTTCTGTGTCTTCACAGCAGCCCATCATAAATAGTGCAGCTATGAACATGGGAATGCAATCTCACTTTGAGATCCTGCTTTCAATTTTTTTTATGTAACCCTGAAATGATTTGCTGGATCATAATAGGAATTCTATTTTTAATTTTTTGAGAAACTTCTATACTGGTTTCCATAGTGGCTGCACCATTTTACAATCCCACCAATAGTGCACAAGGGCTCCTATTTCTCTACATCCTTGTCAACACTTTTCATTTTCTATTTTTTTGACAGTAGCATAGGCCAATTTTTTAAAAAGCCATTTGTGAAGGCTGACAAGACTTTACCTAAATTAAACTCTAAATACATAGGCCTCCAAGAAAAATGCTTTTGATCTTTATTGAAACTTTGATATGACTTTATCTTCTTCACTCAAAGTTCATGAATATGTTCAAAGTTCCTAGCAAGTGAAATGCACAATAGCATACTGAAAGTAGCATAGCAAGAAGAAAAATTTAAAGTTATATTTTCATATCTTGTTTAAAATGCCATCCATATGTGTATCTTCCAGAAAAAGCATTATGACTACCAAAAGACTAATTATAGGGTGAATACATAATTTATTTCATTAATTTTGGTCCTACTACCCTGGAAGAACTAGGAATTCTACCAAAGGGAACAAGTGGACTGACTGGCTTAGGTAGAAGCTATGAACTCCTAGAAGCAATGACACCAGCTAGCTATGAACTGAACCAGTGGAAGGTAAGAGAAGTCTGACTCTAGGAGCCACAATGTCATTGGCTACCTTGCTCTTCTGGAATGACTTGCACAGCTGAATTTTCTTCTACTTTTTTTCTGGCTGCTTCTTCTTCTTCTTTAGACCACTGCATGTGATCCCTAGGGGATAAAAAAAATAAATAAATAAAAAGATTGTAAAATGTGCTTTATAATTGAAGAAGGCAGAAAAAAAGTGACCAGGGATTCCATCTTTTATTCTAGATTAGGCAAACACAAGTGATAACAAATTCTATGCTGAATGAATATACTTTGTATCAGATATCCCTCCTAATGGTGTTGGAGTGACCCTGCAACTCCTATGGTTCTTCTATTTTTATCTGGCCATGCTGCCAGTCCCAGCTACTTGTGGGAAATGGCTGCTAAAGTAATGTCCCCAGAACACTCTGGTGAATTACCTGTGTACTGGTACAGATTGCTATTTTTTACTCCAAGGCTAATTTATTCGACTTTTTGTTTATTTATGAGCAGAGCATTCTTTAATAATATTTTAACATTATTTTTATAACACTTGCATTTTGTTACTTTACCATCAGATTCAAGTTTTAAAATGTTTGGTACTTACCCTGCAATTTAAAAAGTAACTTTAGATTTTTTTATTAGCTACCTTAGTTTCTGAAAATGAATTCATTTAACATTTAAATGGTAAAAGTAAACTGATACAGTATATAAAAGGGTCATTTTTCTAAGATCTAGCCCTTTTTTATAAGTATATTTTAGTTTCATAATTATTTTCTCTATATGAGAAGCTACTCCTTTGTGCTGTAAAAATGTCTCTTGTTGCCTACCATGTGTGAGGCCCTGATTTAATCCCCAGCACCACAGAGGTAGTGGTGGAGGTGGGGTCTTTCTTAGAACAGAAGCAATATCTATATACAAAAATGGTGATTTGGTTTTGGTTTCATTTTTTACAAAGCTGTGTTTCTTTTTTTACAAGAGGTTAGTTTATAAGTGAGTGAAACAATTTCTTGAAACAAATCATTTTTCTACATAAGAAAAACAACAACAACAACACACCCTACATTCAAGTCCATATAGCCTACTGATATCTTCACCTTCACACTGTAACTATATATTTGTAGTCATCTGATTGATGAAAAAGGAAAAATTATAAAGTTCTTGAAGATGCATCATTAATGGTGACTGACAAACATTAACTCAGCAGTTAGAATAATCATAACTGCAACCATTTATTATTTATTATATGTCAGGCACTGTTAAGCACATTTCATACATATTTGTCCTATCTAATGCTTTCAAAAATCCTGTGACAGGGTTTTAATCATGTTCATTTTGCATATGAAGAAATAAAAGTGTAGTAACTCACTCACTCAAGGTCCTATAGTCAAAAGGTGGCAAAACCAGAATTCAAACCCAGCTTTATGTCATAACAAAGTCCACCTTCTCATCCATTCATCTATTATTATCTACCAACACAGTATGGGATACTGAGAGATTTTAAGACTTAATCTTGTCCATCAAAGGCATATACTCCATTGTGTATAAATGCCACATTTTTTTTATCCATTCGTCTATTGAAGGGCATCTAGGTTGGTTCCACAGTCTTGCTATTGTGAACTGTGCTGCTATGAACATCGATGTAGCAGTGTCCCTGTAGCATGCCCTTTTTAGGTCTTTAGGGAATAGACCAAGAAGGGGAATAGCTGGGTCAAATGGTGGCTCCAAAATGGATGGCATTAGAGCAGATTATGCTAAGTGAAGCTAGCCAATCCCTAAAAAACAAATGCCAAATGTCTTCTTTGATATAAGGAGAGTAACTAAGAACAGAGTAGGGACGAAGAGCAGGAGAAGAAGATTAACATTTAACAGGGATGAGAGGTGGGAGGGAAAGGGAGAGAGAAGGGAAATTGCATGGTAATGGAAGGAGACCCTCAGTGTTATACAGTGGAGGAGGTAGAGAGAGAGGAGGGGAGGGGAGGGGAGAGGTGGGGAGGGGGGAGGGTGGAGGACGGGAAAGGCAGCGGAGCACAACAGACACTAGTATGGCAATTTGTAAATCAATGGATGTGTAACTGATGTGATTCTGCAATCTGGGTATGGGGTGAAGGTGGGAGTTCATAACCCACTTGAATCAAAGTGTGGAATATGATATGTCAAGAAATTTGTAATGTTTTGAACAACCCACAATAAAAAATTATAAAAAAAAAAAAAAAAGAATCACAATAGAACTTACTCCTGGAATGTGAAAATGGGTACTGTTGGAAAGGAGTAGACAGAAGTCATTTGGAGAATTGGTAATATTCACATATGTTCAACTTGATTAGAGGTTATTTGGATACTTCTTTGTAATTTTTGTTATGTGTGTGTGTTAAGATGTCTGTTGTGTTATTTTCCTAATAATTAGTTAAAAATACACTATAATAATACAAAAAAAAAAAGGCATATACTCTCCTATTGCAGGCAGACAAACAAAACGTAAATACTACAATGGAACAGACATGGTTAGCACCTGATGAATGGGAGTATAGCCAATTAATGCTGGCTAGGGCAAAGAGGAAGGCTTAAGGGGAAGGTTGGTTTGGGATCAGGCTGGGGATTGGGCAGTGGGGCAATTACTTTTGCCATTAAGAAGCTGGCAATATGGACAACATATTACAGGAAATAATGAAAAATTCCATTTTGATTGGTTCTCTTCGGCAACTGCAGATGAAGTTGGGATCTGGGTAATGGTCAGATTTCAGAGGATTTTAAGTTATGTGCAAGATGCAATGGAGTGGGGAAGGACTGGAGGCAGACCAATTAGACTGTTGCAGTGGTCTAGGAGTAATGAGTACCAGGACTAAGGTGGAGATAACGGAAAACACAAAAAGACAGTGGAGTGGGAGACACTGAAAAAAATCATAGTTATGACTGGAGATGAACTCGATATTAAAGGAGAAGAAGAGTAAGAGTCAGGAATGATTCCAAGGTTTTAACCCTTAGTATCTAGGAAAGCAGGAATAATGATGACAGAGTAGAGTTGCTTTGGGTAGAATGATGAGAAGCTTGATTCTATTTTAACTCATGTTTATGCAATCAGATATCAGAGGATAGAGTCAGGTGACCAAACTAAAATACACTATGGAAAGATAAGAATCTATTATCTTTTTAAAAGGATCAAAAATGGTACACTGGATCTCTAAGAAAAGGGAGTGAGAATGTAAAAATCAGAGTTTCACAGATGAAAATTTAACCACCAGTATTTTTTAAAAAAAAAAAAAACCCAGTTATAACCCAATCATTAAGAAGCTTGTCATTTGCTTTAATAAATGAAATTAGAATGGATTTTTGTTATGATTCCTTTTAATAAATGTAAGTAATTATAAATGAATTGAGGCTGGGAACTATACATTTTGTATGTGTAAATATAGAGGCTATAGCATGACTGTTATAACATTAAAGGCAACAAGTCATCTGCTTAAAAAATAGTGTTACTAAGGCTGGGGATGAGTTTCTCACCTATAAATTTTTATAACACAAAGGAAGAAAACAGAACAATTGCTTTCTCTATAGAGAACCAAGTGGTGAGCCAACAAGAGTATATGGAGTCTTCAGCTTGATTAAGCAAGTGTTTATTATTTATTTATTTAAAAGCACGTGTTTTAAACTGCTGGTTTAACTTCCTACTTCTTAAGTATGTAATAGATTTGGTTATTTCTTAAATTGTCCTAACATCCTTATACTGTTTTTTATGTTGTTTCATTTTCTTAACTGTTAAGGGAATATTATATCCCAAGTTCCTGCAGAACAGATTTTCCCACTATATAGTTAACAGAATCCGCTCAGAAACCTACAAAATGTTCCCACTCTATTTATGGGGACTTCCTCCAGACCTGCTGCTTTATGGCAGTTCTTTATCTTATAAGTCTGATTCATACAAACCAAAATCCAACAGCCAGCATTAAGAATCACTCAAATATTTTTACAAGTAATAAATACAACAATAGAATTTAAGCACAGAGACAAATAACTAATAATAAAACTGAAATAATTAGGCTAACAACTAAAACGAAAACCAAAGACAGAAATGGTTACACTGTTTTGGCTTATGAAATGTACTGCATGGGATTTATTTTAACAAAAGAATAATAAAGTTCTATAGAGAAAATATCTGTACAAAGATGTTCATTGAACATTAAATAAAATAGCAAAAAATTGGAAACAAACTCAGTCATAGGGGAATGAAAAAATAAGTTAACTCAAAGGAATATTATACAGACATTTCCAAAAAAAATTTCACTACCATGTGATAACGTCAAAAAGTATTTGTGAAATTAAACTAGGTTAAAAAGGCAGATTCCAAAACTGTGTTTGTGTTAAAATTATAACTGTTTAAAATTATATACACATTGAATAAAGATGCTAAATGGTGAAATAATAACAATTACATTAGAGTAGCAGGATTAAGAGAGAACTATCTTAAAATTTCCTTAATATTATAAAGCTATTTCAACTAAAAATAATTTTTAAAAGCTATATTTATATAAATACTATACTATATGTTTAAGACGTATAATAATGATGGTCATTAAGACTTTTATATCACTGTTCATGGGGGAAAACAGTAATTCTTATTATAAAAGGGAACTTATGTTTCCTTAGAAAAAGAAAAAAACTAAAAAAAAGGAATTGAGCAGAAAATGCAAAATATACTCAATACTTTTCATGAAAATTTAGAAAAAAGAACACTCAAAAAAGAAAATAAAAGGGAAGTTTTCTATTTTTTTTAGTAAGACAAATATTCATAATATGACTGGTAAAATTGGCCTCAGGATTTTGTAGTATTTATCTGTCCTGTGATCTCAGTTCATATATTACATATATATATTTCCCATTCCTTTTATATCTATGGTATAATTAAATCATGATTCTCTGTTTTAACTTTAAGCTGATGGCGGCAGCAGTCTAAATAATTGCATTTGTTTTGGTTTGAAGAAGTTAAAAGACACACATTCATACCATACTTGTTTAGCTTGTATACTAACATTTTTGAAGATTATACCTATAGAAAATTCTTCTAAATGTGGGGACGCTTCATATCGTAACTCTTAATATTCAGATATTAATGAAGAAAGCACCCAGTGTAAACTACATAAATAGAC